TATTATGTTTGTGTGGGGGGGGGGGGGGGGGGGGGGGGGGGAAGAGGTCACTGTTGGAAGTTCCTAGGAGCAGACAAACCTAGACAAAAACAGCAGAGCAGAAAATTTAATCAAACGAAAAACCAAACCACTGCAGGTAAATGTGCCAGATTTCGCTCGAGGCAGCCTCTGTTGGCAAGGTCAAATGCAAAGCACCTTCAGGAATGCAACTCTTGGGATGGTAAAACTCAGATGGATTCCTCAGCATATGTTGATGGGGAGGGATAACAGCAGCAGATATTAACTGTCCAGTGTACTTAAAGACAAAAAAAATACATAAACCATTCTGGCATATTTAGGAATCCAAGCTGCTTTTGTAAACGCATATAGACTGTGCTCTTCACACATGACTTCTGAAATAACTGAAAAAATTCTATTATCAACTTCTTCAGAAAGAACTAACTGCCATCCTTCCCCTGCTGAAGCAAATTTCTGCACTAGTTTGAAAAAGGAGAAAAAGAAAAGTGATGTTCCATTTGTAAATACTTAACCTCTATAAATATTGGAAGGAACTGAACAGTGACTTCTCTTGCTACGTGTTCAGGTCAGGAATTATTAATAAAAGAGCAAGACCAAAACTTTTGCTTTTGCAGTTCTGCTCCACTCTCCACAAAACATAAGAAGTCTGAATCATTTATGATCTGAACTATTATTAACATGGTTTTATTTTTGACTTACATTTTTAAACCTGTTGGGTTTTCTCCCCTTCACATCACAGAAACGAGAAAAAAAAGTATCCCTGCCTTTCAGGCAGGATGCCTCAAAGACATTCTTGATCAATTCTTTTCATAGCTAGCTATCTTAGCTCTCGCTGCTGTGTCATCAAATATCTTACCAAGTAGTATGAGAAAGGAGTGGAAGGTTAAATAACAATAAAAAAAATCCTGCGATTGGACGAAAATCTGAATACTGCTGCAGTCCACACAGCAGCACCCTCCCCCCACCTTTCCCCTGCTGTCCTCTGGTGAGGAATAGTCCTTACGCAATTTCCAAGAACCATTAGCAAGCTCTTCCCTCCACCCCTGAAAGTCTGTCTCTTATCTTGCACTTTTTCCCCTCCTCTGTATTTCTGCTATCTTTAGTTTGATCACTGCTATAACCCTTCTCCATTGATTTGTGGTAATCCTCCCCACTGGCCGCTGCTGGCGGCTCAGATGCTAATCGGAGTCTTGTGGGAGGGAAGGACGGTGGTACCTCAGCTGGGGACTGTACAAATAAATAGCTCCCACTACTGCCGCACCAGGCTACATCACAAGCAGCAGCACATAAATACTGCTCCATAAACATTTCTCCTCCCTTACAGTGTTGCTTCCCTACTCTATTCTGATCTCGGATAGTTTGATTACAGTTAATATGCTATGGTATAATATCTTTAAAAATATTTTTTCCTATTTTTTTTTTCCCCTGCTCCTTTGCCTCCTGTTCTCCTTGACTGCAAAGCCACCATGGGTATTATACCCACGCTACTTTCAAGAATTCAGCAGAAATAATGCAGATTCTTCTTAGATAGCAAAAATCTATCAGTGTCACCAAACTTTGTTTTATTATAATACGTACCATGAAAACACCTAGACTGCTCAGGCAATTTGACAGCATAGAATTTAAAAATGTTAATCTATCATTTTACTAGCAAGATCTATAGCCAGAAAAATGGCTACAGCGTCACCGTTTCCTTTAAGAGACTCTGATGGTATTTTAGGAATGTACTTCTAATTTCAAAATAACTTGCTCATCCTTCTATTTATAAGGAAGTTTCACACTTCTATAAACCCATGTGTTACTGTCTTATTTGCCCTGCAATAAAATTCACTAAAACAATCTCACAAATAAACATGAATTTATCTTAACATTAATGGAGAGAGCTTTACAAGTACTTAGTCATAAGGAAGTTCAACCTATCATATCATTCCAATTTTATGTTTAGTTCTTTTGTTTTTTAAACATTGCCAGTCTACAATGCAATATTTTAAAGTGCATTACAAGCACCATCTTAACTTCTGAACTACACAACTTCAACACTTCTCTGTAACTGAGAACTTATGGAGCTAAAGTTACCACATGTAACAAAGATTTTCTTACTTCCTCCCCCGAAGATTCTTCTTCTAAAAGAGTCCAAATTCAGTTCAGTGTGCTCTTCATGCAAGTAAATTTTCTTCTAGACTTCAACAACAGATTTTCTGACAGTCCTAGCCACTTCAAACTACACAGAAGATTATATAGCCATTCTGCTGTATTTTTGAATGGTCTGATGGACTCAGAGGCCTAGAGAGGTTTATTTGGCATTAACTAGTTTTATTATTTATAGTGTCATAAAGCAGACTGAAGAATTAGAGACGCACAACTGACATTTTCTCAAGCATTTTATTTCATAACCTAGTGTATAAAATTTCAACATACAAAAAAAACCAAACAAAAACCAAAACCAGAAGTGAACTAAAGCAAGATCTCTTAATATTTTTTACCAGAAAGCTGTACCTAAAGGCTCAGAAGCAGTAAACAATCAGCCTATTGAAAAACAGGATTCAGAACAATCTTCATACTTGCAGACTGCAGAACTATGAATCGAACAGACCAGGTTTTGATGCCTTCTTAAAAACGGTTTACTTGCCGTAAGCAGTGGTGTTTGTGGGGTTTGTTTTCGGTTGTGTGTAGGTTGTGGTTTTGGTTTTTTTTTTTTGTTTGTTTGTTTTTTTTTTTTAAATATCTAGTTCACTTTCAAGATCACAATCAGTCTCAGCTAGTTCTCTTCAGTGAAGTGAATATGTTTACTTGTTTGTTGGGTCTTTTCAAGTCTCATTCTTTCAGCTTTAGCAATCAACTGCAAACAAGAAAAATATTAAAGAAAATATTAGAGGAAAAATATATTTTTATGATTTTATCTCACAATCATGACTATATTATTCACTGATTTACCAAACTTCATAAGAAAAAGCTGATCTTTGAACAGCTAAGCTAACCTATGCCTCTGACAAAAAAAAAGTTAGAACAACCATGATATAGTTTATTTCACTATTGCCTCAGAACCACCAAAACTGTAAGGCATGTCTTCAGTCTCTGGACAGTGCAGCATCTTTTCATTCCATCCTTGCTTCCTCCCAACATGGTTGAAGAGAACAAAATTACAACTTCAAAAATCCCAAACCACAGTCTCATACAGTACGTTAAAAAACCCTACCCTTTTATTGGATTCATGCTGTTACTGATGTAAGAAAAACAAGGTCAAACCACTAAAAAATGCCTTGGGAATATTGTGTCACTTTATACACTCAGTTAGCAAAGAAACAAAACCACTGAAATCCAGATGGGGGCCATCCTTCAGGCTGGGAAAACAGCACAATACGTATCACAACACTGTTGAGAATTAATCTTAAAAAATAATGGTGCAGTTTGGAGGAATATTGATGCGAGGAATCCCTAACTCAAAACCCCGTCTGACCAGAGATTTGTTTGTTTTCAGTTGCATTTTAGGGAGACTGCCTAAATTACTAGGGTACCTGGGTTAGCTGCTCCTAGTACAGAGGTATGAGAAATACCTTTGTGGAACATAACTAATCTGCTAATTTTAAACTTCTGTGTACTGTGTCTTCAGGCAGAAAACAAAACACTGAGAACAACATTAAAAGCATATTTCTTTTTTAAAGCATCCATACCAGAACATTCATAGACTTAAGCACAGTACTGCAACAACGTCATACTTAATACCCAAAAGCAAAGGTACAAGCTTTGTTACTGCAATGCCCTATTATGATTCCTTAAACACAAGCAAGAGCTCATGACGTAGCTGTTACATAACATGAAAAAAAAAATCATAATAGAACAAAATGCAAGGAACAAGACAGGCTGTCTAATCTGAAGAAAAAGTGAGAAAGCAGGAAACTCCTATGAATCTAAGGCACAGCATCAATCCACATTAACTCATCTGATGGAGACCACCAAAACATATTAGCTGGTGCAGAGATAAAGGGGCACTTGCTCACCAGGCAGTCCAGTAAAGAGTTTGCTAGATTAGAAGAGTTTCACATATAAATCAAACTATTTGCTATTTATCCATATGACTGTAGTCACAGCTATGTCCTGCAGATATTACATCTTATATGCAGCATGGAAGTGCAAGGCAATGCTGCTGGACTGGTTATGGCAGTCAGGAGTTACACTCCACACTGATGTTGCATGGATGCATTGTTTGCTGTGCTGCAATATAATTACACTACCACAGTTTCACTGCTACGTCCCCCTGTACCCCCAGCCTTTAACTTGACGGCAATCCTTAACATGTTCTTAACAGTATCAGTCCGTAAGTTCTGGTAGCTGACCTTCTCAACCATTTTCCAGAAATAAAATGGATCTAAAGATGTAACTAAGAGCTACTTTTACTCTCTGGTATCCGAAAAATGGATTAAGAGAGTTAAACTCTAAAAAGAAGCGAGGAGTACAGTGGCTCATTTGTTCAACATATAGCAGGGAGAATCACCAGCACTGGAATAAAAACTCTAAGATATGAACTGCCCAGTTCTTATCAGTAAATGTTTCTGTACCAGCACCTCAGAATTTGCAAGAGGCCTCAAGGATTCCCATTTTCAGCTAATCAATCCAGTATCAGCACCTGTTTCTAAGCACACCACTATTCAGGTCTCCAAGCAGGTACCCAGCCCTTCCATAGATACTAACTTCAGAGAACCAGTGAAAGGTGCTTATTTGGGCAGTGGAACCACTCCCCGCTGGCACACAGCCAGACTGGTCAGTCTTGCAAAGACACAGCCCCTAAGGCCAAGCATAATCAGAAGATACTAGTGTGGGCTGTGCCCAGGCATTCCCACTATCCTCCTTTCCCATATATCCTGCAAAATTATTCCGCCCTTTACAAATACCCAGTTCTCACTTCCTCCCCAAATGCCTTTCACTTCTACCACCACTCTCACCATCTGGAACTACTCCCTTTCCTTCAATGTAAGCAGCTGCACAAGGTGTAAACTAGGTTCAGCCGCACCTCCTCCCAGAAGACAAGTACCCAAGTGGAAAGCTTGCAGGCACTCCTGCCTTTGATTTGTGAACAGAAGACTTAGGTCTAGAGCTGAAGACTACAGACTGATGAATTGCTTTAGGTCTGCATAAACTGGCACAGCCCTAAAGAAACAGTTCTGGCAAGAAAGTTTTTAATCTGTATCACTAAATCGCTGAAGCAGTTGAACAACAGGTTGAAAAGAACACGGATTTACAAGCAGCAGCAGAGGGGAGCACAGGAGGTGACAACGAATGGCCAGGCCTGGGGCGAAAAGCCGGACACTGAGCACCTTTTTAACTCCAAAGGATGGCTAGGTATTAGTCACAAGTTCTGGGGAACCTTGGCATACATAGTGTCTTCCGGGCATTAGATTTATTATAAGAACTACACCAGAGAAAGTAAAATCTCCATTACTTTTTTTTGGGGGTGGGTGGAGGGAAAGGCATTATGCCAGAAACCCTCTGCTGAACAAATCATTAAACCTCATCCTGGCGTGCCACAGAACCCACTGCAGGAAAGCCAAGTAAGCCTATACTGTTTAGAATACATGGAAAAGAGGAATCTCAGTCTGCCTAAAGTTACGCTCAAAAGCATCTCTGTGCTCTGTTACTGTGTTCTGACTGCAATGGGATGCAGTCTGTGCAACACTATGTGTGTTCATCGTTACTACAAATATCCCGTTGACATCACTGCAGCTATATAGCTTATATCGATGTAACTTTTAAGCCCACATTTATACTTTCTTTCAGTTAGTGCTTAAGATGCTGTCTTTTATAATAAAGAGCTAATAGGAAAATGCTCATCTTGAAAGACAGATCTTGTAAGGGATCTTTACAAGACAGATACACTAATGGCATATTCAGCTGTACATGTTTCATTATGAATCATTATATCACTATCTTCCTTCCTTTTATTGTGACCTTCAAGGAAGTCGGTTTGTGAGTACTTTGGAAGAATTTTCAAATAAAAGAATAAAATTAGTATTAAAAAACAGAGCAGACACCGTTTTTCTTACCAGTTTATATTTCTGGAATACAGACTGTCAAAATGTAACAAAAGGGTTAAGTGTTATTGACTGTAAGAGGCATTCTTTTCTTGATGTCCTGCTTAACAGTTTTAGCATTTAAATAGTATTCACTAAGCTTTGAAGTTAACACCTCCCAGTGTTGCAAGGTGTCGGGTAAGGGGGAGGTGCAGTCGTTTGCATCCCCCCTGCTGCTATTGTTAGGCAGAACTGAGACAGTTTATATTTGCAAGCCTAGATGAGGTACATTACTGGCCAATTTACACCAGTCTGATCAACAAATACCAATCTTCAAAAGATGAAGAACAGAAACTTGAGAACAGGGCGCCTACAGTCCAAGTTAAAGTCAAAGGTGCCACTGGCATCTTTTGTTTAAAAAACTAAAAGTACATCCAAAAAACTAGAACAAAATAAAACAAATCCCCAAAAAACCCACAAACGGGCAGCACTCGGGAAAAGGCTCTGAAGCTGTACAGTTTTCACATTCCCTTACTGCTGATATTAAAGAATCTTGGCTAGAGCCAATACAATTTTTATGCTTTGAAGAAAATTTTATCAGTCATTTGAGGAAATTCTTTATACACACATTTGTTTAAAAGAACTAGATTCATTTGGCTATGGGATCTCTGAAAGAACATTCAGACAAACAGGATAATACATGCAAAATATTCCTTGTACAAGACAAGGTTTTGACCTGTACAATTGCTGTTCCTTTAGGTCGATGTAATATTTCAATTATATACGGAACTAGGAAATGTTTTATAATTGTGTGCATCACTGGAGCATGTAGGAAACAAAAAGTCTCCAAGGTCACCAGTAAATAATTAAGGTGAGATGATTTAAGTTTTGCAAGCGACAGCATAAAGATTCAGGTTAAAGCCAACTCAGAAACCTTATCTGCAATGTGTGTGAAGTAAACCCAGCAATAAAATGTCTGTGAAACACTCTTTGGCTCCTCTCTGTCAGATGAGGGATCTCACTGGCTTAATCAAGAACCCTTCATGCCTGGACGGATCTTCTAGGACAGGAGTGGAGACTGTAGCCTGCAAGTTCATTGCAACTCTCCCTCAACACTGTGCCCCAACAGGCACGCCAAGGTCAAGGCTGGAAGGAAACTTCACTAGACGTGAGGCACTTTTGGCCTGGAAGCTGCTCAGCTGTTGATGCTTGCAGTGGATTTCAGATTTGTCTGGATCAGGACAGACTCACTGGTGGACAGACTCTAGACTACACTAGAAACACACCAGTGTTCACCATAGCACAGGACTGTACACTAAAAAAAAGTGTAAATCATCAGAAAAGAGATTAATTCTGAAGAAAACCATTTTCTTTATACTGGAGAATTAAGGCTAAAGCACTAGACTATCACACTAGAGCAAATCAATACTACTTGACTTTTAATGAGCTCATGTATACAGGGTTTTAAAGGAAAGCCAGCTTACAAATTAACTTCATGCCCTTAGTTTTCAGCCTTAACTTTCTCTGATTGTCTCCATAAAGACAAGCCTTGCATTTGGCAACTGACCAGGACTGCCACCCGTTCTCTATTCTGTGGCTGGTAAACCCTGTTGCAAAGTCAGTACAAAGTGTTTTAACTGGATTAAATAGAGTCAAACGTTAAAGTACCAAAAAATCTAGACCTAAACAGAAACAAGAGCCATACTCTTTCAACCATGGCTGTACAGGAGAAAAAAACTGACTTGCGGATTACCTTCTCAGTACCCCGCTTCTTTTCTCGAGGCTGGTTAAGTTTAGCTTGCCTGTCCACTAAAATCTTCTGCCAGTAACGTTGTTCATGATCACCTTGAAAAACAAATTAACATTACAGTACATGAATAAAAGTATTCAATACAAATGGATGCAGTGTTTTCAGCTGTGATGAGAAGTAATCTTTTCTAACTTAGGTAAGCACATGTGAAAATACCTGTTAGGGAAACCTAACAAGTGTTTCCCCATCAGTGTTAAATTTTATAGTCAGAGAAGTCCTACAGCATTGCAACATCTAACACATACCAAGGTGAACAAAGAACAGAAGAACTCTGTCCAGAGAAACTTAAAACTGACACCAAGGTCTCTTGTTCTGTATGAGGCTGGACAGGACCTGAATAAAGGTCCTGTGTGAAGGTCCTGTGCATTTTATTAACTTTAGGACTGGACTGCCAAGGTGTCTCAGTTTTCCTGAGCAAGGAATTTTACAAACGTAACAAGCAGAACTGAGGAAATACACAAACACCACTCTCCACATGCAATTGGCAGAAGCAGCTCAGTTTTAGCTAAACTTTCACCATAGCACTTGGAAGCCCTTTGATTTTCTGATGTACTCAACCTCTAATTTTAAACAACTATCAGACAAACAAACAAAAAGAATGACAGAGCACAGAGCTGCACAATGCTGTATTTCAAGTTGTTTCTGGACCTCTAGAACACAGAACACTCTGGAGACAAATCTATCTCCAAATGACATTAGCAGCATTCAGGGAGTCTCAAACTTTAATTAACTTTGATATTATCATGAAGGTTAATGCTTCCTTTATTGCTCTTCCTTCTGCAATCCTTAACTGGCATTGATGGGGATTTACATTCCTGCATGCATGGAACTGGGCCCTGTGTGAGGATCTGTGCAGGAGTGTGGTAAAATATTTAAACACACTGACGAGAGAATCTGATCTGGATTGTTTTACCTGGTTTTTTTTCCACATTTAGCATTTTTAGTGCTTCTCTAGAATTTAAAAGTTTATGAACACAAAGTTTGAGAGATTTCCCTCCCTTCCCCTTCTTCTACCCATCATTTCCATAAAGAGGTTTCTCTGCACTTGGAAGACCAGTCCAATCTCACGTAAGATATGAATTTAGAACAGTAGAGTAGTTTCAGAAAAAAAAAAAAAACAAACCACATTAGGATAAAGTTCCAAAGTAAGCCAGTAAAACTTTTAGTGTAAATACAATTTTTAAGAGGCATTACTCTGGCATAAGTTATTCAGCTTCCTGAAAAAAAGAAAGATTAATTAGAAGGCAAGGGCTAAAAATCACTGTAAGTGTATCCATAGTGCTCGATCCTTGCCCTGTTATTTCACACAAGTTCAGCACTTTCAAGAAGATCTTAATTTAAAATTCTTTTGCATCATCAGAATGTTATATTCATAAAGCTGAAATGTGAATTAAGTTCTAGAGCCCATTGCCACTAAAAGTGATGTAAACCAAATCTGTCTCAAAGTAACAAAATTGAGTTGAAAGGCAAGCAAAATCATTATTTTGCTCTAAACAATGGCATAAAACCCCTTACTGTTTTACCAATTTCTCTATAATAGCAAAACGAGAAGACACAGGAAAAAAAAAAAGCATTTTTTTCCCCAGTTACCAAGATACCTAAATATATCCATAAAGCTACCATGCAACGCAATCCTTTTCACAGGACTTAAGTCTTCTCCTGTATTACCATTAAAAAAGAAGTCTTACCAGTGAGAACTTCGAATTTCCAGTTGTTTTTGATCTGTATGTCTTTGTATGATTTCATGACTATCTGTGCATCCTCAGGAGTTTTAAAACGGACATGACATTCTGTGTCTCCCTTCAGCATGTCAACATAAGCAACATCAACCAGCACTGCCAAAGCATCCTATCAAAGCATGTGAGAGAACACAGACCATAAGCCAAACTTTAAAACAGCAAAGAAAGAGTGACTTTTTCACCATTCAATGTGCAGATCCCTGACATATTCAAAAAGGTCATGAAGTAGAAGGCAGTAACTGAACTTTTTCATTTTATCAATGAATCTCTCGTCAAATAGTTTTGAATTAACATTTTTCATAAAAAGGTTACAACTGAATTGTGATCTGAGACTAAAACACCTCTCTCTCTCATTCTGCCCTCCAAGAAAAGTTAGAAGCAGTAATTCCTGAAGATGTTATTTTTTTTGCATAATAATTTTACTCACAAAGCATCAGTAATTATCCATTTATTTCAACACTACCTGTATGCACTTTTTTAAAAAAAGAAATATAGATGTTGTAGTACACAAATAATTTAAGTCGGTCCAACAGAAAAATATCTAACTTCATTCTATGCATGACGTTTATAAAAGCAAGCTCATTCACAGCAGATTATTGGAGAAATGAGTAATAGTAAACCAATCCTTCCCATCTTTATGAAGTGACCTCTGCCTGAAGATTTTCTCTAACAGCTGAAGGAAGGAGAGTCACACATGCTCTTTCAGATGAAGTACTTCACTTCTAATACCTGCTGTTAGGGAAATTAACCAAGGCCACACATTCCTAGCCAATTTGGTTCACAGCAGGCAGCTCAAGAAAGATGCTTCTATTCAAGAATTACACACTGCTTTTAACCCTCCACTACCAATGCCAGCCTTAAAACAAAACTGAAGTACCAATACTGTTGAGATCATTTGACAGCCAACCAAAGCTACGTTCCACTCTTAATTCTACTATCCCAAAGTCATGCTTACGTGGAAAACTACAACGACCCAAACAGTTTACTGGCATTGGCCAATATTATGATCTCTGAGAAGCACATTTACAGAAAAATATGGAAGTAGTGAAGTAAAAAATTAAAACATCGAAATAATATTAAAACTACTCTGTGAAGACCTTTCCAGTATGTGGAACTAATTAAGCCTGCCACACAGTCAGAAATGGAGATCAATTCTGGAAGTAGGTGACCCTGCTTTGGCAGGGGGGTTGGACTAGATGACCCACAGAGGTCCCTTGCAATCCCAAACATTCTGTGATTCTGTGAAGTATTAAGGAAGAAAACCAACCTAAATGCATTGCTTTGTGGCAGTGTTTGCTGTAGCTGTGACAGTCCAGGAACACGGGCAAAGCGAAGTTTTGTCAGAGTTACACCTTTCATAAAAGCCACTGGTAAGGCCAGAAAAATCCAGTGTCAAGTACAGTTTGCAGCTTCTACTGCTGACCCGAGAAAGAGCTAGTGCACCCTAACGATTACTGCTTCTTCCAACTACAGTTGTATTCTGCAATTATACGTTTCCCTAAAAACTTTGCCTTTTTTATTTTCCAACATTTTGTGAAATATTTTGCCTATCTACTCATTATGGGAACCAAAGACACGATTAATAACCTTGTTAACCATGTTAAACTACAACAACTGCAAAGGCCAGCCCAATTTTATTTTGTCCCCCTATTACTTTCATAAAGAATTAAGTTTTCCCTGAAACAATTCCATAAAACTAAACCAAACTAATAACTGGAAATACCAAACTAAGTTTGTTTTCAGCTATAGCAGGAACAGTAAGCTTACCTCCTGATCACAATGTGTGAAGTTGTGACACAAACTTAACACAGTAAGGTGTATACTGCAGTCAAAGGGGCAATGCCCTCAAACTTTACAGTGAGGACTACTACACTCTCTCTGTCTCCAGCACTAAGACAACTGCCTACAAATACACCTAGACAGATAAGACTGACTGAAACCATATCTTCAGTTTATTTTCAGTAAGAGAGACATCTCTCATCTTGCTTAGATTCATGCACATACAAAACTCCACAAACTTGCAAGCAGCCAGTGACTTCAAATGGACCACTCAGTTACAAATACAGGTAGCTTAATTAGTTATCTCAGAACTCACATTTTGAACCATTCTCTCATTGTCTTAAGTGGTCTGAATATTTATTCCATTATGAGTTAAAGTTGTTCAAATTCTTTCCAGTTGTTACTCATCCAAAAGTGCAATTTGTGGAAGAAGAAGAAAAAAAAAAAAAGTCTTGTGTCACATTCATGGAAGATTCAGTATCTGGAAAAAGCCTGTTATTTCCTTTGGAAAACTTCATATTTCATTTCAAAAGGATGCAGTTTAAAACTGCTATTTTCCTTAAAAGAAAATATTCTATTTAACACGTAATGTTCATATTATAAGGTGAAACAAAATTGAAGTTCTACCAAACACCTTTTTTTTTTTAAAACTGAGAAAAAAGAGCACTTGCCATAGGGGGGGAAAAAGAAAGAAATGTGTGAATGAATTACTGGACAAGATCTACTGCTGTCACTCTCACTGAACTGGAGGTTTTTGTAATCGTGAACTTCTTACTAAAAGACAATTGCTTTCTCATGCAGAGAGCATTTTCTTGCCCTCAAATTCCTGTTAATGGTAAAAACCCCCTAATACACTATTACAGATTTCTTGATCTGAATTGTTCCAGAATGACTGGCACAATGACAAACACGGAACACTGCACCCACTTTGCCTGCAACTTCTCTTTTTAAACTGGAAAGAACTACTCATCCTCTATAGTGTTATTGATTTTTGTCATTATTTTCATTGTAAACTTGACATTGGTTGAAGCACTCTAAAGGCTAATTTTTGCTTCGAAACATCTTCTTTACCCTATGTAGTCGTTGTAAAATCTGCTATTAACAGGTATTAGAGAAGAACCTGCACATGGCTACTGGCCAAACACGTTTAAAAAAAAAATAATCAGTGAGACTTGTTTAAATGGTATTCCATATTCAAACATTTGGGGGGCACTGTAAGAGGAAAGCTAACAGCTACCCTGAGGTTACAAAGGCATTACCTTGATCTGCTTCCTGCCCGGCAGGGGCTCAGTGCTAATGATCTTCACAATTACTCCACTCAGGAACTGGGGCCCCACTGTGTTAGCCTTGGCAGGAGTGGCAGAATCTTCACTGGTGGCTGGTCAATTTAAGGGGGTGAGGTGAGAAGAAAATTTTACATTTATTAGGTTGACAAACTAAAGATACTATGAAAGCACATAATCAACACGGCGTACGCAAGAAATGAAACAAGGGGTTATAAAATACTGCTCCTGCAGACTAAATTGGCTTTTTTTTTTTTTTTATTTAGGATCAAGACTGTTCACAAGGTAAAGTCAATGTAAGTAAAAAAAAAGGAAAAAGAAAATAGCTCCACGAAAAGAGTCTTAGAGAAGTTCTGACAGCCTACAGGGTTGTCATATTTTATATTCTATTGATTACAGTCGATAGTTGAACCCTTAGTTGTAGAGTAATTAAAAATAAGCAAATGGACATTGGAATGTTGGTATTGAAGTGGGCGAAAAGAAGCACAGAGGATGCAGACCAAAAAAGAGCAGTTCTGTCGCTGAAAAACGTAGAAATTTAACCACGAGGTTAATTTAACCAAGCTACTTTTAACCATAAACCCAATTGCAAGCCATTTTTTTAAGGCCTTAGAGAAACTGTTCCGTAAATCACTGCAGGTATAGTTAAACCTAAGCAAATCAGGCCCAAGTTACATCAAAAAAGCTGTTTCTACATTTACCTCTGAGGCTTTTATAATTGCAATTGCCTAAAAAGATCCTTAAGCTTAAAGAGTGCTACTGGAATATGCTGAAATTACTTGTTTACTCTGTACTTACAAAATTCCTTAGTCCCAAATCTATCTAAATGAAGGGGTTTTGCTTTTAATAACATTTGACATTCAGAGAAAGCGCCAGCATTATAGAAATCAAAACCATTCTGCAGTGTTTCTGTAGGACCAGTGTCTTACATCACTTATGTTTGTGTACTACATTCATGAAGAAAACAAGACCAAAAAAATAATCAAAAACAGGATTACATTTGTCATTTTCAGATTGCGGCTTTTTCTGTGCACAAGATTCCGTTTCCATCTCTCCCACAAGTTCAGATTTGATCCGAGACATTGTTTTCTTTAAAGAGGCCATACTGGCTTTTTGAAGTGTCAAGTATTCTTGCTTCAAATCCATCCATTCGGTCCTATAAGCGGCAACATAGGCATAGGATGTCAGTTGTAAATAAGAAAATAATGTTTAGAAACCCACTGATAACTTAGACAAAACAGTTTATACATAGCTTAAGCTGAACTTGGTAAGCAGTGCAGACCACTCTTACCCTTAGAAATCTCCCTGCATTTAGGTCAGATTAAGCCTTGACAATAGCTGCATTTTTATTATTCTGCTTTAGCTTTTAATATTCCAGGCAAGTTCTAACAAGATGCACCTAACATTTAAATAGAGTGACTCCCAAATTTGTTTTGCATATTCAAAAAACACAGAAGAGCTTGATAAACTGTTTTCTACTGCAACTACAGAGCACAAGCACTAAATTCAGGGTTAATTCAGAGACAGTGAACTCTGAATTCACTGAAATTAGTTCAGTGAACCCACTCCTGTGTTACTATATTAAGAATCAGTCTAGAAAAATCATTGACGGAAAATCAACAACTGGTTAAACTCACCAAAAAACCTACTGAGATAAGAACATTCCTTACTATTCAAATGCATTTTGGTTAAAAAATACCACCACATGGAAGCAATTTATATATTTACATACATTTAACATGGAGATGTTTCTGCAAACAGCTAGAGCTTTGCTCCACAACAACACAATGCCTATAGTGCCACTGTGAGAACGACTCATTGTTACCCTAATCTGTGCTATCAAACAAGCTGATAGAGGATTTTTAAAGAGGAGGATATCTTGTGGTAATGGTTTTAGCTGTTAACATTGACAACTGTATACTTCAAAAAAGCATCCAGACTCACCCAGGATCATACAGTCTCAACAGAGCAAAGACATTAAAATAACAAAAGACCCACGTAATGATTCTTCGAGATAAAAAGGCAACACCATTCCATGGCAAGGTATGGTATAAATACAAGCTCAAGGAGGGACTTCTTAACTTGACTGGAAGGACGAAGAGGACCAAGGGGAATGAGTCAGGCAAGTATTTGCAATGCTTATGCTCTTTGAAACCCCCCCGCCCCCCCCTTTTCTTTATTAAATTTAAAACTTTTTTTCTCTGTATTTGATGCAGTACTCTCACCATCTCGGTAGAAGAGGACAAGCATCGTTGATGACTACCGTTTTTTGTGGACCCCTTTTACTTTAACATGGAGGTGCTTTCTGTGATTTTAAAAAAGTAAGTGCTTCCATGTTTTAGTAGAGGTGAATCCTGATCGCAATACTGAAATAGCACCCCGGACTTTTCTTTTTGTCTGCACTTCAGTCGCAAGATTTTTAGATCTGGGAAAAGAAAATTGAAGAATTTTTGGCTGTACACAAATGGAAGGGATGCTTCTCCAACAAGACCTAAAAGCTGAACAACACATTTTTGTGGCCTGTATTTTATGTTTAAAAAACTTGAAGCTATTTTTTTTTAATTTTAGAGGACTCCCTTTGCTTTAACATGGAGGTACCTGCTGCCTAAAAAAGTAAGTGCTTCCATGTTTCAGTGGCGGGGGGTCCTTATATGCTCTTGAACGTGCTACTAGAAATTAACTACAGCTCAAAGAAGCCTACTTACAGTAATATACATGTATGTTTATTGCATTATCAGAACCATGCATACTATGCTATTTTTTTATTTAGCAAAATTAGTCTCTCAGGTAAGGACCCCCACAACTTAAATGTGGATGTACTTGCTTTGTTCCTGAATAGTAAGTGCTTCCATGTTTTGGTGATGGTGAATCCTTTTTACTCAACTGAAAACACTTCTCAACAAGATGTATTTACACTGCACATATGCCCTACATGTTTTAACATAACGCACAATTCTGTACCATGGTATACACAGCACAAGAAGGCAAGGACCCCCTCTACTTTAACATGGAGGTAACTTGCTGGATGCCTAAAAAGTAAGTGCTTCCATGTTTTAGTTGTGGTGACTCCTAAGAGCCCAACAGTTAGAGGCATGAATATTTTTGTGACTTCTGGAACTACTGAGGAACTAGGTGTAAATTTGTGATGTGCAGTTACTGTTGAACGATTTTAGGCAGAACTCCACAGACAGCAGTAATTCAGACTTAAAAACTGGTATTCTTTTAAGCTACAGGCTAATACTGTTGCTAATATGCAACTCTGTTATATAAAAATTGGAATTGCACTTTAGCAATGGTGATGGACTGTGAGACATACAAAGATTTAAACAGTCTGAATTAAAATATTCCAAAAAGGTGGTATCATTGTTAAATCATTGTATATGAGCCTGTTAAGCAATAAAAATTCAGTTAAGTATGCAAAACTTGGGACTTTGAAAGTTTCCTGTAACTGGCAACACTTCCACAAACTTCCACACACTTCCACAAAGCAACAAGGCTAAAAACACTGCTCCAAATGACCAAGATTTGGAGAAAGGTAAAAAGCAAAGTATATAAAAAGTAAACATTAGCTTAGTGAAACCACGGAAAACGGTGGAACACCTTAATGCAAAAAAGCTACAAAGCAACCAAAAAGTTATCTTTCATAACCTACTTGGAGAGTACTCTGAGTGGAATGACTTCTTCACCCATTTTGTGCCTTTCTTTGTGTTTTTTCTTATGTTTCCTTTTTGATTTTGAAAGGGATGTGTCTTTTTTATCTTTGTCATCTTCTGCAGAAATGTCTACATTAAAAAGTCCAAAAGAAAAATGTTACAAACACTTAAAAAATACAGGTATTATAAAATATTTCAATAAAATGGCATGGTATTACTTATTACTAGTTCAACAAACACTAGTTCTCTTTGATTAGTTCTCAACTGAGTTTTGCCTCTAATCATGGATTCCTGTCAACCCAAATGTGATTTCAATGCAGCTTTTAATCCCATCTACTGCTTTTTTCTTGTCTCATGTAAGAAAACTGGGATCATCAGCTTTTTCTTTTGTATTTTAATCTTACTGATATTAACTTCTTAGTGAACTATTTTTACTTAATGATGAGATTTACCTGCTTCAGTGTTGAAAGTTCTTTCCTATTCTCCATGCAGCTTATCTCCTTGGAATGACTCATTACCAGGTTTAAACTTAACTGCAGGGAATGCCACATATTCCTAAACCGACCTTGTTACGTCTCCACCATATGAACCATTTTTCCCCCACTGATTCAAGCAGAGCAACCTTTTACCAGTTCAGTTTTCATTCTTTCAAAGACAAATTCAGTGTCCAAATCTTTCACCAGCACAAGTAATAAACCTATTAGCCTCCAAAATTCAGTTCCCTAATGCATTTGTATCACACAGATTACACTTGTTATATTTCTTGATGCTTTCCAGACATGTTCTTTGCAATCCCCCTTTCCTGACTTGCTCGCTACCCTCTAGCATATCAAGATTCCTATTTACTTAACTTAGGCCACTACAAATACAATTTCAATTGCAAAGAATGCAGTTGCTTTAACTCGAGCTTTTCTCCTTATGTAGACTTTTCACTCGTTATTAAGCCTGCCATCTGTAATCTGTAAGACATACATCCGCCCTTTGATTTAATTCCTGCATATAGTTCACAAAAATACTAAAAAGACATGCAATGAACTTTACCATTGGAATCCTTTGGAGCTTCCGTTTCCTCTTTTACAGGAGGTACTTCATCCTTTTGAACAGTTTTCTTGACTTTTGGAGTTGATGTCTCACCATCTCCAGAGCTGGTTCTTTTTCTCTTCCCCGGCCTGCTTTCCCAAGGTACCTCTGAGCTTTCTGTTCTGACCCATTTTCTTTTCTCTCTCTTTGAGGGCTGCCTGTGAGTCTCAGTTCCCTCCATTTCTGAACACTCTGATGAAGTCCTATGTCTCTTTGACTTGGGTACTTGCTCCGTTGTAGCATTCGTGTTCGATTCCTCTGTCTCTACAGCTGCCTGCACATTGCTCTCTTTCTTGATTTTGGATTTCTTTTTTTTCTTCTTTTTCTTCTCCTCTGTATTAAAAACACAATACTTAAAACTGCCAATGATTAAAAACTAGATTAGATTAACTGATATAAGTAAACAATCACGATACCATGTGTCATGATAATCTGGGATGTTAAATGAAATGCCTGTTTTCACCACCTCTACTACAGAAGAGATGCAATACATTGTCCCAAAGTTATTCCAAGGCATTTTAAGCAGAAGAGAAAAAGACAGATAAGACTCTCAGTCTCACAAAGGGAGAAAGGCCTCTGGGTCACAAGGGCAGCTTGACTACACGATTCCTGAAGTACTCTCAAATTAGAAAGAAAGGAGCTAGACTTCGTTGCTTCTTAGCAAATGCACATTTTGTTATGCTCTCCCTTACTTGTCTTTCATAAGAGATACTTTCCTCTGTCACAGAGACTCTCTCCAGAAAGTTGCAGCAGAGAAGAATACCACAAGGCTTGCTCTAAATATGGCAGACTATCACAAACTCATCTGAACAGCACTAACGTTTTAAGTATAATTTTGCTCTTATGTCTGTATCTTTCCCTTCAATGCTAAATATTTCTAAACCACTCCGTGTCAAATTTGTCTTTTGCTAATGCTAAACGCTTAGGTAATCATTTATTGTACAGTCTGAAAGCTGCTCTGCCAGCCTAACAATGACTAATGGTGGTAGCCAGCAACACAGTAAAAAAGAAATTAAGTTCTTTATCAAGCAGGACAACAAAAAGGCAGATATTTATTATATTTCAGTTTTACACTTGCATTCTTAAGCCTACATTGTTCAAACAGCAACATGCATTTTTATTAAGTTTTTAAGAAACAGAAGATTAGACTGTAGTAACACAGCAGTTCAAAACTGTCTCCTCAAAAGCTGAGGCCCAAATCAGTCTGTTTCTTGTTCCCCATAACTCAGTAACACTTACCTACTACACTACTGTTACTTGCATTCAGTACAGGAACAGGCTTATTCTTTACTGTTTTGGGGAAAATCCCAGGTTTCCGTGGCGCTTCTTCTGGTGGATTATTCAAAAACTTGAAAAAAAAAAAAATTTAAATCCACAAATCTTTACTAAATATATATATATATATATTTTTTTTAAGGAATCTCCATCCAAGTTCAAACCAGCAGTCCTATAATCATTTAACAAAGATGTAGTCCCTCTTGACTCCAGAGGTCTATATTGTTCTTTCAGTGGTGTGGTGGTTTTTGTGGGTTTTGTGGTTGTTGTTTGGGTTTGCTTTTTAAGTGCAGAGCTTGCTTGATTTCACATTATTAGAATGATATTTTTATACATTTGTTACCATTATGATATTGATACATAAATGTTTTTGAACTTTCGAATCACATTTAAATACACAAAATTAGGTATGACTATGCTTGTTTGATAAAATTTATAATAGCCACTGTACTGTTACACAGAGATCTCTATTTCCATACAAGATGCCAAGAGTGGCAAACCAAATTATTCCAGAACACACCCACTACGCTTCTACTAAGTCTCCAGGTTATTAATGGAATTACACGTTTAAAGAATTGTGGAATTGATTAGAGGTCTGAGGGTATGAGACATAATTCCTGCTAAGTTTTTTAACTATGATATTCTAGGAATTTCTCCAAGATTCAGTATGTGAACTAGTAAAGACAACACCATCCATATCACAAAGAGACAATCAGGAAGAATATTAACAGACCAGAGGCACCATTACTCACCTCAATAGCTTTCTCTGCTTGCTCTTTAGTTTCAAATTCAACAAAAGCAAATCCCTTTGGATCGCCAGTAGTTCTAAACCGGGGTATACTGATGTAAACTACATTACCACACTTCCCAAACACCCGCTCAATCCAACTGTGATTGACATTTCTGGGAAGCAACTCCTGAAAAAAAATTAAAAAATGAAACAAATGTCATTTTCTCACTACTGTATTACCATTGTATCAGATAGTTTACTGCATCTGCTAATTAAAAAGTTGTCACAACAAAATATATTTAATTTTGACATGACAACGTTGAGAAACATTTTTCATTTCAGTAAGTATTCTTGTTGAGAGGTCATAGTATTCAGGTAGTAAAACCAGTGATCTGAAAATGGATCTCTAATCATTCATATACCTATACCAAATACATTATATATTAAATTAAGATGTTTTTCTTCTTCCTGCAAATACCAAGACCTCACCTGCAGCTGCACCTTTGCAACATGAAATATCTTTGTGAATTTAAGACCTTCGAGCAAACACAATTTTGCATTGTCTCAAACTATCCACTGCAAAGCAAAGGGATTTTCTTAGTGGTTAGCATTTATGACCTACTTGATCAGGTGCAGCAGAAACTTTCAGCCAACTTCTTGGATGATAAAACTAACTGATTTTTATTTCTATAAACCCCTTTACATAGAAACACATTTTAGCCCCTTGCAGACATCTTGTCTCAGTTCCTAAACATTTCCCTTCACCAATCAAAGACAAATCTTGTCATATCAACTTCTAAATAGACCCAACTGAACACTTTAAAAACCTGCTCCCAGATTCATGTCTGAACAACAACAGAGAGTCAGCAATTCTTCATTTTTTTCAATGCAAGTCATTGCACTAAAAGCTTTTGCTTGTAGAAAAACATTATTTATCACATTCAGGTAGAAAACTATTTTTGCATTAAATTTGCCTGCCTGAAAAAAACACTTCATTTTGGTTTGGTATAAAGTTGAAAAGCCAGTTCGTTGAAGCTTTAAAAATATTATGGAATGAGTAAAAAATAATAGCATATGTCAAAATGTAGTTTATGTTAAAGCATATAAAAAAGTCACTAACCATAAAATAATTTCAGAGAAATTTAATCAAAACTTACCCTGATTTAAATGAGACTGTAAAAAAAGATTACTATTCCTTAAAGAAACACATCTTTAAGTCTCCATTCTTATTTCAGAAATGAAGCTTTGACTTCCTACATAAATTCAGAAAACATACTACTGTTGGAGACAATCCTTCACAGTGGAGGTTGTAACCTTCATATTAATCCAACATAGAAATCTTTCTTCCACCTACTCCAGAATGAAACAAAACTTGCCAACACTTTGACTACTGCTTCTCCCCGTTGCTACATACCAGTCATGTAACATGGCTTAACACTTCTGTAATTCCAGTACGAAGAGCAGATACCTCACACACTAGTCTTTAAAAAAAATTTTTACCCATCCTTTTTGGTAGCAATAAGAGACAATAATGAGTTGCTACATATTCTCCAAATAAAATCTCTATCAATTCAGTAATTTACAAAGCACACCAGTTACCTATTTTGGTCTTACAGAAAAGCTTAAAATTAAAACCCATTTAGCTATGTACTTAACCTATGTACAGAATATGTAGCTCATTAAATTTGTAATATCTTTTCCAAAAATGATACAGACAAAAATACTTAAGTAAGTTCTAAGTGGTCCCTGTAATCAGGTTAGGGAAATACTATGATTAGCACATTGTACTTAAAAAAACCCTAAGAACCTTTCCTGGGCTTTTGTTAAAGAAGCCAGAGTAATCCAGCTTCTCTTCATCTGGATGGGCTGGCATTCGGGGCACGATTATTATGTATCTTCATCACAGAAGGCTTGGTGCCTGCTTGAAATTATTAATTCAGCTGCTAACAGCTACAGGTACATACCTAAATTGACAATAGTCATGAAAAGGCTTCCTCAGAAACAGAAGCAATTCCACACTGGCTTTAATTTTATTAGAAGAATTGCACAGGATTTAAAATAAGTGACAGCTCAACCATCAGATGTCTTTCCATGCTACCATTTAGGTGGCTCAACAATACCAATAATAGCTGTTTCACTCTAATAAATCTGAAATATCATGTTGAAATTGGGAGATTTTCCAGAAGCACATGCTCTTTTCATTTCAGTATCAAGGTAGCCATGATATAGCATGCTATTAGGAGGGTTGTTTTTTTTTTTTTTAAAGTCCCTTAAAAAAATAAACTATCTCATTTAGACACATTCTGCCTTTGAAAGAAAGATGTTTGTGTTAAAGAACACATGCACTTGCAGTAACAGATTTTGTACACAGAGTGTCCTTTGTAAATATTTCTTGGTACCAGTGCTGCTCCTCTAATGGCATTAACTAGAAAAGCCCAGCGGAAGCAGTAATGGTTAAATGAAAGTGCACCTTTTCTTACTACCAGGTGTAGCAGCTCTTTGCTTAGCATTTAAAATTATTTAAGCTGGTACAAGAAATTGGTGTACCAAACTAATCTCTTTCTTGCCCTGGTAACTGCCAATGCTCACCTCCTTAATTGATTTCCCCGACGTACACTGCAAAAGCAACAGTAGCCAGCCACCTGCCCAGTCCCTCCCTGTGTTAACAAGAATACTGATGCACAGACACATTTCTGCTACATAAAAATATTTACTGCATTGAACATGTACACTAATCCCAGTCTATGTGTCTCAGCATTACAAGTTCAGTACACCTATAATGCTTTTCCCTCCCTCACACAATCCTTTTCTTTCAGAGAAAAAAAAAAAGAAAAAAGAGAGACAATCAAATTCTATTAGCTTTTATACTTTACATAAACGTTTCTTGTACTAAATCCATGATGTTCTCAAAGAAAATCTACCTTCTAATCCAGGTAAAACTACATGGCTGCTTCATGTGTTTTTGTTGCTCTTCATACAGTATATAATACTATGCAATTGGATTGTCATAGACAACACACAGTAGGTTTTGCACTCTTGAAGAATTAACAGCAAAGTTTAAAAGAGTTTCCACAGTTAGAAATAAAGCACTTTGCCAGACATGAGGATATACAACAAGTACACCCTTACCACATAGACTGTACGACTATCCACATCCTTTGGCTGCTCACTCAGTGGTTGGCGTCTTCTGATTCTAGTTCCCTCTAAATCCAGCTAAAAGTAATAAGAAATGAACAAGCATTTTCCATGAGATTATTGCCTACATCACTACCACTATCATTATTATGCCACTATCAGTAAATACAAGAGTGAAATGTTAAATACCTCTACAACAGATGAACTTTTAACGGCTCGAGCTATCAGTTTTCCATCAGTAGTCAATTTTTTCATTTTGTTGAAAGAAACAAGAAGCGATATGTCGACATCTAGGGATAAAAAGGTGCAAAGGATGAAATGAGGGTAATCTAGAAAGCATTAGTTATATGTTCTAATCTGACATTAAGACTCCACTAGTATTTTTGTAAAACAATCTGCAAGTCATAAGTGTACTATGCAACCAAGCTGCCAAGGATTCATAGAAATTTTTTACCATCAAAATTAAAGCTTCAAGTAAACCTGTATTTAATTTTCTTTTGTGCTAACCTTTATCAAAGGAATTTTGTTCTTTTACCTTCCCACTGATAGCTATTGTCTTTGAAAAGAAAGGAAGAAAACTCCCTTTCTGATGTAGCTTTACAATACAAAAACAATTTGCATTGAAAACATGCCTCTCCTTCAAGTACTCAATCAAGTGTTTAACACAGTCTTCCCAACACAATAGAGCCCCTGTTTGCACTTCAGATGCAATGAGTCATGCTGCTAAAACCTTGACAGAAAATTATGTAGTACTAGTCTTAATAAAAAAGTTAAAGACATCCAAGTTCTAATATCTCTAGAAAACGTAGGGTAAGTTTTATTCCTCTGAAGGTCCTTTTTTTAAAACTGGCTTGAAGTTCAATATAATTGAGGACTATACCAAGCAGTCAGAAGGCTACACTTTTCACACAATGCAGCTGGACTCATGATTTATACTTCGAATAAATACAGGCTCCTTAAGAAAACAAAAATAAGTAGACACTTCGGGAAACTGCCATTTGTTTGTTTTGATGGAAAAGGACCACCTCTTTTTACAGGCATCCGGTCTAGTCCATCTAGTCCATGTGGCATAACACAGTTAACTGAACAATTACTGATAGACTGTATTTACCACACACGTACTGTTTTTTAAAGTAAAAGCATAGGAGTCACAGCAGCTAATGTGTAAATTAATTTCTTCAGAAACTCACAAACAGCTTCAGAACCAAGCTCAATTTCCTACTCTGAAGTCAAATATCAACCACATCACAAATTGTCTAAAGGAAAGAGACCCACAGTAGCCCTACATGCAAATACACAATTTCTCACATATCAAACTTGTGCAGTAAACATGAAAAAAAATGTATCTAATTGCAAATCCAAGTGACATTTTAATTTCTACATATACCTACCCTACAAGTCAAGTAGTGCACCTGCAAGGGCAAAATGCCCCTAGTTTGCTTGCTTGTTCTTAAAATTATACAAAGCTAAAAAAAGAAAGTCAGGTCTCCCAAACAGTCACTTGTACACTGGCAGATGCCTCTAACTTATGGCTGGTAGTAAAGGAAAGGAAAAGAGAAACACTAAATATAGTTTCTAAAAAATAGTACCAAGCTCTGCCTCCTGAGCTGTTAATCCTAAAGCAGTTTCCAGCATGAAACTACTGTCTTCCCCAGGAGCAGGCATGCACCTCAGTATAACTTGTAACTGTCACCAGCAATACAGTGAGGACAAAACATATTTGTTTAAATATATTTGTTTACTGAAATATGCTGAATATAAACTTACACCCATCTCTGGACTTTTCTATTTGTTCTCGCAGAAATCTATCTTTGTGGAGATTAACATCACCAAACCAGAAATCCACTTGTTTCGCTATATCAGCCAGAACCTGTTTAACCCTTGACCTCTTCTTTTTCTCTCTCTCCTTTTTCCTTTCTGTGCTTTCTTCTTCCATGGCTTTGTCTCTTGCAGTTTCAGTCTCCATTCCTGTCATTCTGTCAACTGAAAGTTAAATATAATCTTTGAGAAAAATAAAAATATTCTTATTTCAAGGAGTAAACATTCGTGTTATACCTTACACTAAAAACCTCATGCATGCCCTGCGAGACTACGTGCCATTCATTATTTGTAGCATAGAAAAATACAAAGCATACAGAAGACGAGGAAAATTAGGTCACACAACAACTGTGCGGTGAAGACTAAGCTGGAACTCATGGCACCTAGTACTTGCCCTTAGCTACAGAGATTCACTGGAGGCAAGCTGGTACCAAACTGCAGGCTTTTCATTTAAAATATGTACTATTGTGTTAATTCAGAATGCCTGTGAACAGTCTGCCCTCCGCATTAGTTTTCTAACAGCAGCTTTTGAATTTCAGCAGCAGTCATGAGATTTACAGTTTCAACTGCTTTTGCGAGTTACCAGAAAAGCAGCACTATTAAATAATAACAAAAAAATACGTAAGTGAATTTTTTAAAGCACTTGGGCAGGTCAAAAAGTGTGTTTTAATAATATATAACTTCCCTGTTACCAGAAAAGCAAGCTACTTGCCAAAGAGAGCCTACAAAAACTAAATCTAAGCAGTAGACAATTTCCCTCCCAATAAACATATTTTCTTAAGACTTGAAAAAAGACAGAAACTATTTGTTCTCCACTCCCCATATCTCCCAGTACAAACCATCAGAAAGAACACACAAAAAATGCACAGCACTATAGACTTCAGAAACTGCCGTTTTACACAGAAGGCAAAGCAGGAAAAAAAAAAGATGGATTATATAGAAGACTTCTGAAAAGAATGACCAAAGGACCGTGCTCAGCAGGCATATATTGTAAATCCAGTTGTAACCACGGTGATGGAATTAGTTAATCATAAAGCACGAACAATGCTGCTATGTCCCTTGTACAGCCCTGCCCATCTGGACATTAGGTCTGGGAACAGAGGGTTTAGTCCCTAGGTAATCATTAATGTTAAACAGTAATGGTGAAGGGTGATTTTTAATAGAAATAGCGTTAACAAATAGTTGCAGGTGTATTTGTGGTACCTGTCTATTGTGTGAATTAACTGAAGCAAAAAGTCATACATCTCCCCCCAAAGAAGTTAGTGTTAATTAAAACTAGCAGGTGCCTAGAACTGGTCAAGACGACCCGTGCCGCAGGGACAAGAGCCAGAAGAGGACTGAGTTTGCGCAGAAACTGTGATGAAGAGGATAAGCCTTCATCTTAGGACCCCCGACGACCACCACTAGGAGGCACTGCGCAAGAGCAGGTGGGAGGAGTGTATGAAAATGGACTGATTTGACTATGAAAGAAAGGGCTTATGTAATCAGATGAATATGTATATTTTGATCTATATAAACTGCACGGAAAGGGTATGGGGTATGCACGTTCGGCGGAATTATCCCCCGTGCATCCGACGTCGCAATAAAGAATGCCTGCCTTTTAACACTACATTGGTGTGACGAGGTTTTATTCCCGGATTTTCGGTGACAGTTTCTGGCGACCCAGATGGGACCCTGCTTGTGAATACCGACGGATCCGCGGGATCACGGGACCTCCAGCCGGCATCGAGGGATTCTCGAGGAGAACCTCTGATCCCCGGACCGAAGGATTCCAAGTAAGTCCCCTGGAATTTAATTAAGGCATTCTTTAGGTATAATATACGCCTGCTCGTAAATCG